GGCGCGTCCCCTTCCCCCCGTGCATCGCATCGCATCCCCCGGCGCAGGGGCAGCTCAGGCGCGGAAGGCGAAGGCGGCGGCGGCGGCGCGGGGGCGGGCGGCGGGCGAGGGCCGGTCCCGAGGCCGGCGGGGCGTCCCCGCACCGCACCGCCCCGGGCCGGCCTGGGCGCAGCCCCGCGGTCGCTCCGCGGCACCCACCGCGCCGTCCCCCGGCGGGCACGGGCCGCTCCCGCGGCGCGGCGGCACCGGCCGGCTCGGCGGCGATGCGGCGGGAGCTCCGGGGGCGACACGGCGGGCACCGGGCTGCCGGCGAGCAGCACAAAGGGGAACCAGCGCCTCCCGGTGCGGCTGCCCTGGCATTTCCGGAGCGCGGGGAGGGGCGGCGGGGGGAGGGACGGGGGGGGACACACGCACCTCGGAGCGGGGCCGGGCACCGGGGCGGCGGGGCCGGCCCGCCGGGGGGGTCCGGGCGGCTGCCGCTGCGGCTCGGTGCCGATCCGGATCTGCTCCGCTCTCCGAGGGGGTTGCTATAGCAACTTACACTTACACTTGGCATCCTGCCACCGCTGGGAACACACGAGAGCCGGGCGGGGGGCGGCCGGGGGGGCGGGCCGGGCCGGGCCGGGCCGGGCCAGGGGGTGGGACGCGGGGCCCGGGGGCTGGCGGAGGGGGTGGAGGAGCCAAGGAGCCCGCGGGGGTCTGGGAGCCCGGCTGCGAAGGGAGGGCAGAGGGAGGGCGGGAGCGGCCCGGGCGGGGTCGGGTGGCACAGCCCGGAGGGTGCCCGGGCGCGGTGCGGGGCAGTCCGGGCGGCGGGGGCGGCCCCGGGCTGCGGGGTCTCAGCCTGGCGGAGGCGAGTGCCAGAGGCTCCTCCCGAGCCTCGGCCATTTCGGATCCTCTCAGGGGCCTCTCTCCACGTCGACTCGGTGCGAGAAGCTGGTCTGAGATCGCTCCTCTCCCCCTCCGCTCCCTCCCTCCCTCCGAACCACGCCGCGCTCCCGGGGACCGAGCCCCCCGCACCGCCGGCGAGGTGCCGAGCCCCAGCTCCCGCTCCACCGCGCCAGCATCCCCGATCTCTCCATCTCCTTTTTCTTCATTTCTCTTCTTCCTCCCTTTCTCTTCCCCCTGACTCTTTTTCTCTCTCTTTCTTTCCTTCCCTCCGTTTTGACTCTCGTTTGAAAATCCTCCCGCGGACGAAGCGAGCGCGGTGCAAAGTTTTGCAAAAGGTGTAAAGAGATTTGCAGTACCACGGTAAGATGCTTGGATGGGAAAATACAAGTCTCCGAATCCTTAAGCAAACCCCCTTTTCATCAATAAAGCACACTGAGAGGGGGGGAAAGCCCAAACCGACTTTAAACGGTACATTAGTGACAATATGCGAAGGACCATGTGACCAGATCATTCCTAAAGCTAAATCAACACCTTGTCAACACAATGCAGCGACAAGAGTGAAAAACAAATGTCATTTTCACAGTCTGAAACCCATAAACCCCCATCGGATGCACTGGCAACAACGCTAGATGCACACATACTGTTTAAAATGAGAGGGAATAAGAGATAAAGGGGAAAGTACACACGAGGAAAAAACCTGTCAGCCATGTCAATTGCAGAGTAAATTATTTTCTGTCAACCAGATCCTGAAAAATGTAATATAACAACGTGGCTCCAATGCAAGCCATTAATTTCCCCAGGTCAGTGCTCCCAGCACACCAGCTCCTGTCCTTGGTCTCCGCTCCTCCCGAGGCAGAGCTTGCGAGCCACCTCTCATCGCAGCACCGTACGCTCAAGATGCAAGGTTCTCCCCAGCCACTGGCAAACTTCGATGTTAGGCAGGGGGAAAAAAAAAAAAAGGGCTACACACCAAGCTTTCTAAAAGCTTTGAACGTCGGCCAAACTGCCCAGGACAGGGGTACAATATTCTTCAGAAGTGTGCACAGCGCCAACGAGCGACCCCGGCCAGAAAACTTCTCTGGCTGCTGCAGGAGAACCCTCGAGTGAGCAGCAGATAAAACTCCCCAGCATCAAACCAATGCCGGCCAGCACACAGAAAACCAAAATGCCAGAAGCACCAAGCCAGACCAGGTCCCGAAAGCTGTTCCCAGCTCCGTGAGGGAAAGCAAGACCGCCGCTGCATTGTACTGCGGTTTAAATGTCGCTTCCAGGGTCCCTGACCCTCTGCTTCTTACTTTTAAACTGATACCGAGGTTTTGCTTTTCCCAGAAAAGGCGGAGACGGGGCTTCTGCACTCTCCTCTGAAGAGCCCTGAAGCCGGCGGCTCTGAGGTCCCTTTAGGTACTTACACATGGACAGGCTGCTTTCACGGTTCTGTGTTTTATTTGTTCAAGTCACTACCTTATAATTCATAAATATCTGAACCAAAAAAACCAGCAGTGACCGAGGTCATGCAAGTCGGCTGACCAAGAATTCCTTCCCAGCCCTGACAGACTGGGACAAACCTTTCAAGACATTAACGCGTTTATTTCACGCAGGCATAGCCCCTTCCTAAATGGAGGGGGATTAAATTCAACCGTGAAACCTGTTTTGTCGAAGCAACCCCTAAACGCGGATTATTTATTGCCCAAAGTTACCACATTTTCAACATGCTATAAGCTATCTTGAAAATCAGTGATTTTCTCCAGCGAATTGAACAAGGCGCCTAATTTCTCCTCAAAAGCCACCCGCACAGGCACAGGCACACGCGTGTCTGTGCCTGCGGGGTTGTAACATGAACACAGCACATTTTACTACAGCAGCCTGAGCTTAATATTTTGGTACGATGGAAATCCTTTCAGATTTTTTTTCTGCTCCTGCTGATCACACGGCGAATGCCACTACTTCACACAAATACAAACAGCCTCTTACCCAGGACAATATATATTTACACACTGACACATGGAACAACTAAACGTAAAATATACGTAGATAATACTCGCTAGAAGTAAACACTGCCAGCCAACCGATTATTTAGAGGCCTTAAACATGTTATGTCAAAATGAAGAAAAACAGAAGTGCATTCTCCTGCTAAGAATCAGCTACATTACTAAAAATCTATAAAGGCAATAAGCTATCAAACCTTGCTCGACAGGTCTCTAACAGAAAATACATGCATAAAAAATAGAAGCATGGCTCGCATAGGTTTGTGTACTTTGCACCCATCTCCTCTCGGAAAACTCTCTCATCAGGAATAAAGCAGCCGTCATTCTACATCTTCACTCATTATCAGCCAGAGCCACTTGTACTATCGAGCCTGTTATTACTCTTTCACTTAAGAATGGACGCAAACGTTTTAAAGGAGAGGACGGTGCTTCTTTCAGAGAAGGCACACGAAGCTCAAATATCTCTGCCCAACTTGCTGCACCGAGGAAAGACCTGAATATTGGCAACAGAGTGCAAAAGGACCCCAGTCTTCAAAATCAGCTCCCTGTGACTAGGCGTAAGACATAATAGGTCTACTTAAAAAAATACATTAAAATGCTAATTTTGTACTATCTAAGCGACCAGGTAGGTCAAGACTTCGTGTCTCTGGCAAACTGCAACACAAGTCTGTCTCAGTTTCCAGGACGGGCTGCTCAGAGTCACTCAAAGTAGTATTACTGGACTGTATTTCCAGAATGTCCCTGGTGTTAGGGACAGTCCCATAAAAGAAGCTACTCCGACCACTACAGACTACGCAAAAAAATCCTTCTAGCGCCAAGCTTGCAAATGGGCACACACGCCCAGGTTTTCTTCGACTTTTCTGGAGAATGGAAGAGTGAATCAAACTTTCTAGAGGCTGAAAAGTTACTATCTCACTTGTATAGAAATGCGATTTTTTTTCTGCTTATTTTTACCTCATTATTTGCAAATGTTTACAGCAAACACAGAGAAACATCCCGCGTTATATATCGCCAAGGCCATTCAATTATAAAAACAGAACACTAGCAACTTTCAAGGGCTGCCCATAAGCAGTACGAGGAGCCCACTCGCGACATCTCTAAGATCTGACAAAGGATTTCATGTAAATTTACCCTTCCCGGGCTCAGGAGAAAAAAAATACCAACCAGAGAAAAGAAATTCACACACACCACCCCCCCCTCCGCGTCCCGCAGACACATCACCTTTGCTCCAAAGGCTCCAGCAAACCGCACGCCCCAGCTCCCCAAGATCGCAGCCAAACTGCTATCCTCACCCCCCAAAAAAGTTATTTCTCGGCGTTGGCCATCCCTTGCCTCTCCCAGTAGGCACAAACCCCTAAAGTTTAGCATTTAGAGCAGAAATGTAAGAGGAGACATTGGAAACAACTGGGAACCGCCATCTTACAACCCATCCAATTTCACACAAGTACTTGTCCAACTTAAGTTAATAACATTTTCTGCTGGGTGCCCCGGCTCCTAACAACCCCCCCAGGAGGATCGCTACCCCCCGCTGGCTCCGTCTCTATAAAATGGGTGCGTTATCTGACATTTTAACCTCCCCCAGACACATTTCTTTCGGGGAGGACTGAAATCACTTGACCCAGGCAGCTCCAGATTTCACGAACGTCCCTGTTTAATCAAAATCTGCCTTTAAACAAAGGGCGCTCGGGCCGGGCTGGCAGCAGGGTCGGGAAATATAAATATTCTCCTCGGGGGCCATGTGCACAGAAAGGTTTTAGGGGGCGTCTGGAGAAAGAAAGGAACTAAAATTTGCAAATGTGGGTGCGTAACGCGAGCGAGTGCACAGGCTGCTGCTGCTGCTGCTGCGTGTCTGTATGTGTGTGTGTGGCTGGAGCAGCCTGTCAGCGCTTTTCCCATACGGAGAGCTCGGGGGACACCTAGGCGCCCCTTTGCAGCCCCCAAACCGGCCGAAAACCGCCGCCGAGCCCCCTTCGCCCCCCGCCCTTGCTAAGGCGACACCTCGCTTCATACGTACCCGGAAAACGGAGCCGGTGGGTGATGATCGGAGCGGCCAAAAAAGACAATGAAAGTTAAAAGTCGTTCAGCAGAAAATGAATGTGAGCCAAGCGGCCATCTTGAAATGAACTGCAGACGCTGTCAATTGCAATAAGCTTATTGCCGCCGCCGCCGCTGCGCTCCGCTCATTTTAGTTACAGAACGCCCGGGTCTCCGCCGCTCCTCGCGGGCCCTTCTCGCTCGCTCCCTCGCTCTCTCGCTCCCTCCGAGTTGGCCGCCCGGGCGGCTCAGGCGCTGGGAGCGCACAGTCTCCCCGGTCCGGATGGGTCCTCTCTCCACCAGCCCATTGTCTCTCCCTCTGCCCCCCGCTCCGCCTCGCGGCCTCGCTCGCGTTCCTTCTTTTATTATTATTGTTATTATTACGAGTATTATTGTTGTTGTTATTTCATAGTTGGTGGCGGGGACCCGGGGAGGGAAGGAGGGCGGGCGAGCGGGCGGGCGGGAGGAGGGCGGAGGAGGGAAGAATGCAACGCTGAAGGCACACAGTGGAAACTGACACCGTCCCCAAAATGGCTCGGAGTTCGCCCGCCCCGCCAGCGTCACGTGGGGCGCCTCATTCCTTAAGGGCGGCCTGGGAATTAGCGGCGCTGCCGCCGGGGCCCGGCAGCCTCCCCGTGACCCAATCCCGCAACCCGGCCGCCTCCTCCCCCTCCGCCTCCCCCCTCCCTCGCTCCCTCCCTCCCCTCCCCCGCCCGCCACCCCCTCCCCTCCCTCTCTCCCTCCTCCCTTTCTCCTTCCCTCCCTCCCTCCCCTCCCCCCGGCCCTGCACGCGCTCGCCCGCGCGCCGCCGATGCCTCCTTTTCCTCCTTTTCCTCACCGCCCGCCCCGACCCCCGGCCCCGCTCCGCGGCTCTCGCCCGCCTCCCCCCGCCCGCCGCAGCCCCGATGCCTCCCGCCCTCCTTCCCCGCGCTCCCTCCGCCCGCGCCGCGGCTCCCCTTCACCCCCTCCGCCCCCCACTCCCTCCCCGCGCCCTCGTCGCCCCCGCGCCCCCTGATCCGATCCCCGCCCGTCCCCCAGGACCCCGCCCGGCGTTGCCCTCTCCATCCTGCCCGCGCCGCTGCCCCCCTGCCCGCACACCCACCGGCCCCACACGCCTCCCGTCGGCTGCCCCCGCAGCCTTCGCCTCCCTCCGCGCACTTGTTGCGCGCTCCCACCCGCGGCCGCCCCGCACGCCCCGTCCCGCCGCGGAGCGACCCCCGGGGGGACCCGCACGGCGGCCTCGCGCCCCCGCCACCGCGTGCGCGCTGCCGAGCGCCCCTCGCCCGCCCTCGGCCGCACGGAGCCGCCGCCGTCGAGGAGGCGCGTCCCCTCGGGGGCCGCGCGGCCGCTTTTCCGCCCCGAGCGGCGGCGGGAGCGGGTGTCGCGGGGACCCGCGGTGTCCCCGCACCCCGCGGGGGGAAGACGGGCCAGCTGGGAGAGAGGGAAGCGGGGAAACCCTCGCGGTCGCTCGCCGCCGGCGACGACAAGACGCCTCTCGCAGCTCGGGCGCGGAGGAACGGAGCTGCTCCGCAGTAAAGGACCGGCGGCCGCCTCGCATCCTCTGCGGGGCCGCTCTTCCTCGCCGGCAGGTGCGGACGGGCCGCGCTGCGGAGCCCGACCGCACCTGCTGGCGAGAGCGAGTGGCCCCGCGGAGACCATCGGTGCCGGGAGCGGCCCAAGGCGGCCGGGAGAGCCGCGGAGTAGCCCTGCCGTCGAGCCGGAGCCGCCACCCGGCTCCGTTCCATCCCGCGGACCCTCGGCTTTCCTCGAGGCACCCCGAGCCCATACGATTAAACCGAATCCTTTCTTGCCACCCGCGCCGGGGTCCAACCTTTACTCGTAGGGGAGATGTAAGATCGGGTGGAGTGAAATGACAAAGCGCGGCGGGCGATTTAGCAAACGCGCGGCAGCCGCGGCACGGGAGGAAGGGACTTTCGCCTCACTGAGCTGATCTAACGTTTAGCATCTTACTTTTAGGTACAGCTAATTCACCCATAGAAATTGCAGAACAGGCACGAATAAACTTTTATTAGATAACAGAGAAAAATAAGCAGCGACAAATGTAAAAATATACAAAATAAGATAGAAGGAATGCTTTGATGACATGACAGTTAAGCAAATACTTAACAAGAATTAATAAAAAAAAAACTACATGAGCAAGGAATACCAAAAGCAGACGTAAAAAAGTTGTTTCATTTAATTCACATCCAAGGACTTAAAAAAAAAAGGACAGTTTGCATCAAGAGATGAAAGACATTTGTCATTTAGGAGACACTCTTAGGAATGAGAGTACTTCAGCTCAGCAGGCTGACACCTTCCTTCAATCACATCTGAGTCGCTCTTTCTAGACTTTTTGCAGCATCTTTTAGTTTTCCAACTAAATCCTAAGAGATGAAATATTGTCTTAGAATAAACATATTTTTTAGAAGGTCAGCTAGAGGAACAGAGTATCTTTTTTATACAGAGAGGCAAGGGAAACCAGCACCTTGTAGCACAAAGAAATGTTGCAACTGACAAACAGTGCCAGCAAGTAATTAAACAGCTCCATATTTTACAGTGTAGTCAGAAAAGTGGGAACTGAAAGAAAACACTTTTAAAAACGTATTTGCTCCTAAACCAGATCGTTACTATTAACACGTAGATTTTATCAGTATTGCCACAATGGCTAACACTAACATCCGCTCCAGGCTTTGAAGTACTACATGCATTTCTAAAACACTGAAAATATTTTGAGTGCAATTTTGTACCAGGATCATTCTCTAGCCAAAGCATGTCAGATTTTGCTATGTCAGCAAACTGACTAGAAACACTCATTAGTGAGAAAAGGACAACTTTTAAGACACACATTTAAAACCTAAAGTTTTAATATCTTGCTTTTCCTCTCTCCACAACCCCTCTTCCCGATCCTCCAGAGTTTGGCCACTTCCAAGCATTACAATACCTCTATTGTTCAGTTACACATTTAAATCGCTAAACAAAGATCAACGTTTGTTTCAGTACATTTCTTACATGTCATTAACACCACTGAAGAGCCTTCAGTTTGGTCTCTATTTTTAATCATGACACATTTAAATCATTGAACCAGCTTCTTTAATCATTTCTCTAAAGCACGGAAAATCAGAGTTTCAGAAAATGATGAATTTCCTCCCAAATACACATACAGATTACAGCTATGAAAACAGACAAAATATTTATGCAGTATGTAAAACACTCCTCACGCAACTAAAATCAGTTACTTTGCAACTTTATTTGAAAAGACAGTAAAATACACTCAGATAATTTTTATGTAAGATTCTCTCATATTCTCCCAGTAAAGATTTTTTTTTTTAAATAATAGTATATATGATTTAATTTTGATTGGCAAGTTGCTAAAAACACCTACATCCACAACTGGAGCTAAGCATAGAATGATGAAGGAAACAAGTACCTGTAATTGCTCCATCGTACAACTAAAACTAACATCTGGGTGTGATCCTGAATCACTGTTCTGAAGGGAAAAAAAAACAAACAACAACATCTATTTTATTTAAAAGAATCATGAAACTGCATTTTTTTTCCTTTCAGGGGGCTGGGAGTACAGTACCTCTACATTTAAGGTCACCAAGTAGGAAGGCTGATAAGTTTTATGAAGTTGATTGTTCTAAATTAAAAACAAAGAACACATAAAATAGTCATTTCTTAGCACTAAGACAGACTAAAGAAACACCTTAGTGTATTAAAATTACCTTGATCTGATATTCCAAGCGCCAAGACACATCAGTTATGTGGAGAGGAGATCTGCCTATGCTGAAAGACAAAACAGTTACAAGTTTCCTACACTAAAAGAAAAGGTCATTTTCTAAAGCCGTCCATCAATAGAGAACTTTTTCATGATACTTGTAATGCTTCTTGAAAAGCTCAAAAAGATTTTTTTAGAGTAGAATTCCTAATGAAGAAAAGTTTCAACAGCTGTTTTCTAGAGTTTGTTAAAAATGTACTTTTTAAATGGAACAATATTTCTTACTTAAATTACCTAAACCATGCAAAAGTGTTTTCCAGAACAATTTCAAACTAACTGTAGTTGAAACTATGTTTCTGTGCTGACTGATTGACCTACCTTCCCAATAGGATTTCCAATGCATCCTTGTTTTTCTGGAGAGGGGGGAAAAAAAAAAGAAAAAATATTTACTAGGTTCAATAAATTCCTATGAGAGGAAAAAAATTAATATGTTAAAGTTGTTTTTAAAACCTGATATTCGGTGCAAAATTGTTCTATTCTCTCTTTATCCAGTTTACAGTCTTCTAGACATGTGCTACAGGGAAAAAAGAATTTATTAGTTTTCTGTTGCCATTAACTCAGCAGTACACTTTTAAGTAACAACCGCTAGAAAACTGGTGAAGCTTCCAACTATGAGTACCTTATAGCAGATATGTCAGCTTTCTGTTTCCCTGCCTCCAGAATACATGTTGCAGCCGCAGCATGGCAATGTTTTAATACTGTAGGGTCAATATCTTTCAGGTCTGGATCGTCTAAAATAAATTAATTACTGATGACACATTTACTTGCCAAACCCCAGCACACGGTACGCAGGGCTGCTGCTCGCCCTTTGAACACTATCTTTCCCACAAAAACTTCAAAATGAAACACATTTAGTGTTTCAGAGCGAAAGGACGGAGCAAGTAAGCAAGGTGTGAGGAGGTGGAGGAGGAGGTGAGGGGCTGAAGCATTGGCTGGGGCGAGCCGTACCAGGCGGGGCTGTGCGGCGCTGCGCGCCCCGCCGCCTCTGCATCTCCTTCCCATTAAAAAAAAACAAAAACAAAAACAAAAAAAAAAAACAAAACAAACAAAACAAAAAAAAAAAAAGGAGGGAAAAAAAAAAAAAAAAGAAGCAAAACCTCAATTTCCTCTCCAAGCCCCGTCCCAGCAGCCTGTTAATGGCGAGGAGCGGAGCTGGAGCCCCCGGCCGGGCCGGACACCGGGGCCGCCTGCCGCCCAGCCCAGCACCGGCGGCTCCCTCCGCCCGTCATTAACACTGCAAAATTAATTGTACGGCCGTGCACCCTCACGACAACGTTGCCGTAGGACGTGTCCACACGCGAAAAAACCCCCACACGGTGGCAGCGGGGGAACACCGCCGCTCTGCCCCACTCCCGCGGACACGAACGCGAGGGGCGACCCGGCCCGGCCCCCCCTCTGCTTTTGACGGGTCGGAGCTTTGATGAAGCAGCCGCGCATTAGCGGTGACACCCCGCGCAGCGGCACCCTGGAGCCGTCCACGGGCGGGGACACGCGGAGACAGCCGCCCGGCCCCGCGGGGACACGCGTGTCCATACGCGGGGGCGGGCGGGGCGCGGCGCCCCCTCTGCGCGCCCCGCGGAGCGGCGCGGCCCGCACCGCCCCACCCCCGCGCCTCGCCCTTACCCAGCGCAGCCTGCGGGTCTTCGAGGAGGCTGCGGAAGGCGGCGCGGAGCAGCGCGGCGAAGGGGCGGCGGGGGAAGCGGCGGGGGTCGCCCAGCACCCGCCACCCGCCCTGCGCGTACGGCGACAGCTCCATTGTGAGCGCCGTGACCTTCGACACGCGCCCACGTGACGCGCGCGCAGCTGATCGCGGGGCGGGGCGGGGCCGCCGCCGCGGGGCGGGCGCGCGGGGGGCGGGGCCGGTGCGCGGCCGCGGAGCCCCCGCGGGCAGAGGCGCTGCCCCCGCCCCCGCGCCGTCCTGCCCACGCGAACGGAGGGGGGGCCCCCTCGCTTCTCCGGGGGGGGAGCGGGAGTGATGCTGTTCCGTGGAAGATGTGCCGCACTGGTGTGTTTTGGGGTGTAATTGGCTCTTATGTGGGTCTTAAAGGCGATCATATCTCATGAAATCTCTTGCTATCCCTAATCCCTTATATCTAAATACACCTCTATTGGTGTGAAACTTTACAGCCCACAAGTTCAAGGCTTGCTGCCTGCTAATTCAAAATGCCAGGAGCAGAGTCTTAACCCTTTCTCTGTGTAGAATCACAGAGTCATTGAGGTTGGAAGAGACCTCCAAAATAATCCAGTCCAGCCTTCGACCAAAGACCACCATGGCCACTCCACCATAACCCAAAGTACCACAGTCTGCTTGGGTTTTTTGACATTTCCAGGGATAGTGACTCCATCACTTCCCTGGGAAGCTTGTTCCTATGCTTAACCACTCTTTCAGAGAAGAATGTTATTTTTCTTCTGAAACGTCTGTGTGTGTCACCAGATATTCCACACAACCCACCCCATGGTTATAGATCTGCGTATCAAACCACATGTTTTTTACCTATGGTTATGGCCAGCTGAAATGTGAGCTTACAATAAAATTAATTTTCTAGGCAAGACTGTTGTCATACTTTGGTAAAGGCTTTGCATGTTTTGACATACAAAGAATTGTGACAGATAATACAGCCTTCACTAGTGATTTAGTAAAAGCATACAACCGCTATCCGAAAACATCTCCATGAAAATCTAATAAACTCCTCATGTGAGACATTAACCTCCTGTGTTACCATTTCATTCTTTACGTACTGAAACATTGCCATTGTCCTCAAAAAATACTACAGTTAATAACTTACAAGTAAACAGTGAAATGATGTGTGGTTATATGTCAGCGAAGGACCAAATTAGGACTGATGTAATAAAACAAAGGTAAAGGCCTTTCTATATCACA